AGTAAGAACACCTTTTCAATATAGCCTCTGATAACTGTATTACAGCTTTTGAAACTAGCAATTTGTTCATTACTTAGAATGCAACAATTTGCATTCTGGGTAATTAACTAGGATTGATAGAAGAAATAAAGACGTTCCTCCATGAGGGGTACTACTATTCTTCCAGATTACAGCATGATGCAGATCTATTATCTGTGCTCCAAATCTGCTGACCTGTCCTGAAGTAAAGCTCTGTCTGTGAACCCAAGTCACTGGGGCCAAACTCCTAAAGTAATAAACAAAGTGTCAGGGGAAACTAGTTTGCCATTTCTACTTGATCTTGATACTGGATTGTAATTTTAAGCTTGGCCAGTGGATTGTGGTTAAGAGTGGAAAGTGAAATATTTTTCTGGCATATGAAAGTACGTAAATAGGAAACAAAAGTACTCTCCAAAAATTGTTTTTTATATAATGGCTGGTTTTTTTTTTAATATGGTACTTCTTAGGAAAATGTCTCCAGATGGGAAGGTGGTGTTTTTTCATGCTTTTTTGTAAGTCATGAAGCTGATTGATCCATGCTTGAGTTGCATTTCTTGAAAGTAACAGGTTGACTCATGGGAACATTGAATAAGAAAGGTGAATGGGTTTCAAGTTTGAAACTACATGACTATGAGAGATACAGTATGTGCTATTCTTAGAAAAGATGCTAAGAAAAAGGAGGAAAAGGAAGCAATTCACAGGCAATCTCTCCATGAATATTTGTTTAACTTTTCCAGTCCACTGCTTGAAGCATTAGATCTAAGCCACTCACAGCTTCATCAGAAAAGTGCCACTGATTAAAAAAGTCCACTGTGATAATGTAACTCATCAGCTTGATGATGCTTTATGGGTTTAAGAAACAAGGTCAGTTCTTGCACAATAGGAGAGACTTCAACAAGGATTCCAGTTGTAGGTTCTTGTTGTAAATGTAGATAGATGATTTCTTCATTAAATTCCTTTTCAGGACAGTAATGCTAGTTTTTAACATCTCATATTCGAGTGTAATTCAACAAGAATAGCAGTGCCTTGCTCACTGCATTTGTTGAGTCTCATGGTTTCTGTTGATACAAAAGTTACCTTTAAAAAATATCTTTTAAAAAGAAATAAAAACATGGGAAAGAAGATGTGCTATAAATGCCTTGCAACATACAGAGTAATGTTTTTTGAGCTGAGTGGGGATGTATTGTTAGTAATAATCAGCAGTTGACTAAGTCAAGAAGTAGCTTGTCTTTGAAACAAAGATTGCGTTTGGAGGCATGTGTTTGTGGGGCTAAGCTCCTTTTCAAAAATATGTGCATTCACTCATATAATGTCAAGAATAAAAGAAATACTTTCAGATACCTTTTAATAACTAGAGAAGCCCTATAAAGCAGTTTGGACTTCGGAATTATTTAAAAAATGAAGCAGAGGAGATGGCAGAGAGAGGCAAAACAATCAGATGACGCTTAGATTTTAACACTGGGGGTAGCAGCCATTAGATCAGGAGAGAAAAAGGAGTGTAAATTATCTCTAACGTGTGCTAGAATAGCATCTAGCTATTCTATATATTCTATATATATATATTCTATATACTATTATGTAGCAAAGGATATAGGTTGCACTTGCACAGCACTACTATGGCCTCAAATAATTTGCTTGAGCACACTGCATCGCTTTCTGTCCTGTAGTTTCATGCTTCACAGTGACAGCTAGGTTGAATTTACTAACTCTGTGTATAATGCCTGTGGGGTTTTTGAGGAAATGGCATAAATGTCCACAAACTACTGCGATCATCTGCATCTGTAACTGTATAAATTGAACAAGGGAGCAGAGTTGTTATTTTGAGACTTACGCTTTTCATGTCTGTAAGCCAGCGTACTGAATACAAGAGTAACAGGAACATATGTGAGACTTTTCAGTGCTCACCGAGGGATATTTACTCCATAAGCCAGTGGATGAAGTGGAAGGAGTAAATCACAACCAGCACAATCTAATCAGTGACTAATAAAATTGTGTTCTTCCCACCAGGAAAACCTGTACTGACCTCTTTCCAGCCAGGAATTTGAAATTTCTGAGGACAGAGAACAGCTTTGAGAATTTAACAACTTCCCCCTCTCCCCCAAACTTATGGTACAGAAAGAATACATGCAGTGTCTTTATTTTTACTCTGGTACCCATAAACCCATATTTATTTATATATAGATAGATATATAAACTGGCATATATATATATAGCACACTAAAAAAGATTTTCACTTATTTCAGGATTTTTCAATTTAGGATCATTAAACAACCTTGAAAATGAGATTTTTTTGTATCGCTGATTAAAGTAATTGCACAAGGAAATAGAAGAAATATACCAAGAACTATATCCTGATCAGTGATTGCTGGAGTTCTTACACATATCAGTGCTGAAATTGGAGAGTCACTCTAAAAGACAGACTTTGCCACCTGCCATCACAAGATCTCACGTCATGGAGATGAGAAGAGGGAGTCAGAGTACCAAAGGCAAAGCAAAAAAAAAAACAACCAAAACAAAACAAAACAAAAAAACTAGAACAGGGAAATATCTGGTTAAATATTACAGTAATAAGGCAGTCTTAAAGTACATTTTGGATAGACAAGAGATGTGTTAAGAGGAGTGGGTGTAGTAATACAGCAAAGAAAAAAGAGTGCTAATTTGCTAATTACTAGATTTCTTCAAACATATGTCCGGCATGCCAATTTCAGCCACTTTTGTCTGAATTTTCTAGCGCCCATAATGAATGTTGATATTCTGGCTTCTGCCATTAAGTATTGTATCTCTCCCTAAATACTGTGTAAACACATCTTCTTGGTTTTCGTCTTCATTTTTTCCTCTTCTGTTAAGACATTTGTGGTGGATTTCTACATCTTTCAGGTGAAAAACATTCTGACAAAAAAATAATAGATGCATTTGGGTAAATACTGACTTTGGGGTTTTATAAATATTAAGATTTACAGTTCCATATTGTCAGCTTTGACTTCAGATATGCATAGGATCTCTGTGCTTCTCAGAACAATTAACCTTCACTATTCACCACAGGGGTCAGTGTTAATGCGTGTATTATTTAATTCTATCATTGTATTATTTTCATACACATACACTGGTTTAGCATGAAAATGCTTGTTCTGAAATCAGGAAAATATGCTGGTGGTATGCCAAAGTGGGATATCAATGCAGTACTGTATGCAGAATTTTGAATTAACATAATTGCTGGGATATAGCTACATTATTTCTGATGTGCTTTAAAGCTTTACAGTTAAAGTTACATTTAGTTGCATCATCTGGTGCTTCAGCAAATGCTCTGAACTCATCAAGTGGCTGATGCATCTGTTTGTAAAAGGCTTGGATGGTCACTTTATACACAACAATAAACCCGCTGTTGTACTTAATGAGGTCAGTGAAACAACCATAAAAGAAATATATAATTCTGTAGCATGAGTCTGCAAGCATGGTATCGCCTAAGCTTTTTAAGTTTAATGAAGCAGCTACTGTACTGCTGAATATTCATATTAAACAGTCTCAGCATGGATTTTAAAACTAAAATATTGCTGATACCATGATCTCCTTAGAGAGTCCATGGCCCTTACTGTCTTAGAAACCCTGCATCTTTTATGTGTTAATGGTTTTTAAACCAGCCATTTGCTTCATTTTCATTGTCAATGAAGGCCAGTCTGATTTCAGCTGTAAGCTGTATTATGAGCCTCCAGTTTCCTCTCTGGGGTGTGTGTGGTCTGACATAGCTTAAGTAATCCTGTAAAACAAACATTTTGCAAGCATTTTCCTATTTTAGATGCCTCTCTAAGAATGTAAAAGTCCCTATGTGAAAACTTGCATGTTTGAGGTACAGCATCCTCATTGCATCTTCACATGCTACAAAACCTTACTGCCAAAGAAAGACGTCCATCCATTCAGGATACTTCTGAAAGTTAGCACTACCATTTGCTGAAATCCAGTGAAATCAAATTACAAGATTTCTGCTACTGTACTGGTACTACACAAGTAACAGTGGTGTCTGATGCAAAATGCTTTTTCTTGAGGGTTAAATGCAGGGCAGACAAATATGCCTGATTTCAACTTGTGAATATCGCAGTAGTAACCTGTAACATTTACACGTGACTGTAGGCAAGTGTCTCAAGTCATGCTAGGAAGTCTTTCCCCCTTTTGCAGAGGGATTAATCCAGCCTGTATGTATGTCGTCAGTAACAAACCTGGAGAAAAGCTTACAGGCACATGGGCCGGCGTGCTGCCTGTTGAGCCACACAGCCTCCTTTCATCAACAAGCGTGCCCACCAAGGAGCATCGCACAAAGGTATCAAGAATTTACATTTCCAGGCTCTTTCAGGTTGTCAGCATAACCCTTGCTTTCCAATTACCACAGTTAAAAGCATCATACAAAATACACTTTAAGTGATGGAAGAAAAACCGAAGAAGAGAGGAAAGACACAGGGAAGCTATGATTTCTACCTCACCTTGTGTCATAAATTATTACTGCACACAGGCTGTCATTAAGCAGGTCTATGTGACAAAAGCCCTATACGGAATTATTTGTCAGGTCTGTGCTCTGCGTGAGGGCAGAGGAAGGCACTTAACAACAGTGGAGTGTTTTCTCAGGAGATTTGGAGCTCACCGGTCATTTTCTCCTGTGATAACATTGATGGACAGGGGCAGTCTTTAAGTTTAAAAGCACACAATGTGAAGATTGTATATTCCTTTGTAGTATTTGGAGGAGGAAGAGACAAAGAGGTTCAGTCTTTCCATTTATCACTCATAACTTCGGGAGTCAGCAGAGAACAAAAAAAAAAGGAGCACAGAGACCCGGGTTGCTGTTTTTCCACGACATGTAATGCTGTAAGCTTCCCTGTGGCGATTTGGAGGGCTGGGCCAGGGAGGGGACATGTTATATCTCACACCTGGTATCGATCAGTGTAGCAGAGTCGCAGACAGGGAAGGACGTACTCCCTTCCTCTGCCTTACTGCCCTCTACTCTCTCTTTTGTAAATGGGGACCCACTGCCCACCACCATGAGAACGAACTGCAGCAGATACCTGCCAGGAGTCCCACCAGAGCACCTGTACTCTCCAGCACCCACCAGCAAGACCAGAGCCAGCGGCGGTGGCTGCCCGGAACATGTCACACCGGTGTCCACCAAGGATGGGCAGCTGCTCTCTGTCATGCAGACCCTCACCACACAGAGGTATGTGGGGGGTGCCATGAAACCCTTTCCTTCATGGGCTCACACAGGCACTTGAGGGGGAGATGTGGTGATGTGCTTCATGGGGGCTTACCAATGATTGTTCTGCATATATAATTAAATCCTCACCATTACACTTGGTGAAGACTAAGGAAGCAAGCTGTCTAGGGATGCTGCTCTCAAGTGTGCCAGCTGCAGTAATTTGCCCTGATAGATAGTGGAAGGCTCCATCAGGTGCTTGCTGTCATGGGATGCTGTGTTTAGCCTGTGTGATGCTGGCAGCATTTCTGTGGCAAGTTTCCTTCACACTTCCTAAGCCAGTGTGTTTAGCAGATAGACAAGCTATTTCTAGCAGAGTTGCACACACAACTGTTGCTTCTTCAGCCATTGCAAGTGACTGAGAGCGGCTTTCTCTGTCAATTTAGAATGGCAGATTTCAGTGGTAAAATATACACTGAAACTTTACCCTTCGAAAGCCTGCTTTGGGTTGGCTTTGTTTTCATCAGAAGCAAGAAAGAGGATGCTTAAGGGTCTGGCTGTATGCAGACTTGATACTTGGGTCAGAATTAAGTTCCATTTCACTGGTAGGAGGCTGGAAAGACTGCATGGGTCTTAAAGTAGCCCTCGATTTTCACAAAACAACAAATAATACAATTCAGTTCACTGCACTCTTGTGCAGAGTGAAATTAGTAACTGCTGCTGCATGTGTGATGTAACACCTGAAAGGCTGTCTTTTCCCCGTGACTTGTAGCAACTCTTTTAAAACTTGTGCATTTTGACAGCTCAGATGTGTGTGCAGAGTATCAGGCACAACTTCTTACTGTTTTAGCAGGCAGGTTGAAAGGACAGGCTGGCTTCTTTGGACTTTCCTGCAGTTACACCTGAGTGAGGTCTATCTGGGGCATCCTGCAAAGAGCCAGAAGAGGGACAGAGGGAACAGCTGTGTGCCACCATACACTACTTGCTAATGAGGTTTTGTCAGTGCCAGTGATAAAACCTGTTTCTCTGAGGAGATCACCTTATCTGGTGTATGTGGTAGGGAGGGTTGTTTCTAAGATCTCAGTCTCAGCCTTGGCAATCGGGGCTGAGTTGAAGCTGCAGTGAAGTCCATGGCCCAGCAGCGCCGGTGCTTGCAGCCTGCTCCTGCTTTCGTCCTGATGCCCTAAGTCTGAGCACCCTGAGAAGCCATGTGCTGCCTTCCTTTCAGAAAAAATTCCTCTGTAAATTTGAGAATCATCACAGTCCTTATGTTTTCACTGTCAGGAGGAGCACCCATCTCCTTTGAACATTAGCATCCCACCACCAGGAAAGTGGGTGCTTTGGGGGAGGCAGTGAAGGAGAAATAGGCACAGGCAGCAATGAGGGAGAGATGTGTTCGGCACAGTCCTCTTTTTCAGTGCTTCTGAGGCTGCTTGTGAGATGTTCCAAAGAGAGGGAAAACTTCCCCAGGTACACGAGCTTCATGCCTGCAAACACCTGCCCAAACTTGTGTCCCTGCTTTCAGACCACAGCAGTGCAAGTTTTGCTGTTGTTTCAAGTCCAGTAGTCCTTTGCTGTTGATTATTGAAAAAAGTTTACCCTGTAGGTCAGGGGATCATCACTAGCATCAGAGATTGATACCCTGTAGCTCAGAAGAGATGGCACAGGTCATCAGTGGCATAAGAGGGGACCAGCTGAGGCAGGTTTAAAACTTCCGTGATGTATTTAGAGATTTCTTGAAGTGGCTGCACTGCTGCACTGTGAAGAGGTGGAAAATACAAAGGTACAGAAACCCTTGGTCATCTGTCTTTAATGTGACACTCTGATGTTTTTCACTCTCCCTCTCTACTTTCCCCCCACAACAGAAGAGATATTTTAAACAAGAATACTGAAGTGCCAGCAACCATCAGCCAGCAGCTTGGTGTACCAACTGCAGAGCAAAGTTCGCAAGCTGCACATGTGTCCCGATTGTTAATTTGTGACATGCAAAGAGAGAGGGTAGATCACAACAATTTTCCCTCCTCCTTCAGCAGCCCCTTTAATGGCCAGCCGATATGCAGGATCTGCCATGAGGGCAGCAGCCAGGAAGACCTGCTTTCCCCTTGCAAATGTACAGGAACATTGGGGACCATTCACCGCAGCTGCCTGGAGCACTGGCTGACGTCTTCAAACACCAGCTGCTGTGAACTCTGCCACTTCAGGTTTGCAGTGGAGCACAAATACAGACCATTGGTGGAGGTCAGTACTTGGGGCATGTCCCCAAAACCTTACCTTTAATGTGCAAATCATGTTTGTTTCGATACAGGCATCACAAAGTCCTTTGGCCGAAGCCAAAGCAAGCTGTGAGTTTTGGGATTGGCATGATGAGGGCAAGAGGTCAGGGAAAGGGCAGAAATAACAAAGCTCTTATTTTGAAGTGAATCAAATCAAGTGAGAAGAATAGGATCGATGGGTTTGCTTCATTGTAAACTTGAGTGAAGGTGTGGGAAACAGTGTGCAGTGTATTTCTGGTCTACCAGCCAGCTTGGTAGAAGGCAGAAGAGGCAAGTAGTAATTTCTGTGGAATGTGAGACAAGCATCAGTATTAAATATAGGTCAAGATTATATTTTCACCTTGCTTTTGAGGGAGCAGTAACAAATCAAGGAACCTTAGAAAGGTAGTTTCCATGTTAAGCCCGCAAGAAGGAGTAGTTCTTAGTTGGTGTCTGGCATGTTTAGCCATTTGTGATGCCGTTTGTGATAGCCGCAGATGCTCTGTGGCTGCATACGCATAAAGTTTGCCAGGTTTGGTGGTCACTATCTTTACACTCTTGATGACCTTTTGCCTCTCCTATTTTAATTAGAAAAAAAAAACAAAACAAAACAAAACTGTAAAAATAGTGGCTTATATTGCAATTCAAAGCAAATTACAAATAATAACATTTTTCAGAAGTAATGAGAAGCATCTTTTTTTATCAGCTGGTGACACAATCACTTAAATGCGAAGTTTAGGTTCGGGACTGTGTGTCTTTCCTGTGTATCCTCATTGCTCCTGTGAACTGTAGCAAACTGATAGAAGGAGATATGGTATTAAAAATAAGTTTTTATTCACAGATTTTTTTTATTGCTTTTATTCACAGATGAGAGGATACAGGATAAAACTGCTGGGTAGTGGGTCAGAGGCCCACACAGAAAGGGGGTGAGCAGTTCTCACTGAGGATTACCAAAACTGCTTATGCTGGGTTAAGGAATGTGTATTTTGTTTTTATGACACAGTATTTAGCACAAAAGCTGTAATCTAGCCAGAGCAAGCCTAGGCCAGCTATGTTTGCTTGCTTGTTGTTTGGTCCTTCTAGCAGGACTCCAGACTCTGCCGGGAAGCTGGTCCTGGTTTCAGAAATGCTGCTGTTTGTTGAGTATTCTCAGGTAGTTAGGGACTAAGCAAATCTTTGTGGCTGATTCTTTATCACAGTTTGATTTTAGAGTCCAGCTTCTCCAAGCTGTTCCCTTGCAATAGCTGCTCATAGGCTTGCTTTAGAGAGATGGGGCATGATAGTGTTCAGAGCTAATGATCACTGAAGAACTTGAATGCAAAGCTAACCCTGCTGAGGCTGGGCAAGTCTGGTTTCTTGATCATTCCCTGATAAAGTGTGGCTTAGTTTTGACAAAAGAATTAATAAATAGTAGCAACAACAACAACAATAATAACAATAGTAACGATAAAGCTTTTTTTTCTCAGCTGGACTAATAAGAACCAGGTTCAAGAATATTTCTGAAACATAGTACACATTGTTAATTGATGTTTTTCTTTTTATTACCTAATCACGGAATCACAGAATCCTAAGGGTTGGAAGGGACCTCAAAAGATCATCTAGTCCAACCCTCCTGCAAGAGCAGGGTAAGCTAGAGTACATCACACAGGAACTTGTCCAGGCGGGCCTTGAATATCTCCAATGTAGGAGACTCCACAACCCCCCTGGGCAACCCGTTCCAGTGATCTGTCACTCTCACAGTAAAGAAATTTTTCCTGATGTTCACATGGAACCTCCTATGCTCCAGTTTACACCCATTGCCCCTTGTCCTATCACTGGACATCACTGAAAAAAAACCTAGCTCCATCATCCTGACACTCACCCTTTACATATTTGTAAACATTGATGAGGTCACCCCTCAGTCTCCTCCAAGCTAAAGAGTCCCAGCTCCCTCAGCCTCTCCTCATAAGAGAGATGTTCCATTCCCTTAATCATCTTTGTAGCTCTGCGCTGGACTCTTTCAAGCAATTAAATCTTTTCCTGCTTCTTAGCTACTATACCCACAATATTTTAGTACAGTAATCAACTATTATATGCAGTTGCACAAAAAGTCATAAAAGAAAAAGCAGGTCCGTTGTGATCTTACACAAGTATGTTTTCAGTTTAGAAGGGAATTGAGGCTGTACTTTTGAAGTTGAGAGCATCAGAGATAAAGAGTAACTAAGATGACTTGTACACAAGGAGAAAAATTAAGCAGAAGGGCACGAGTCAAAGTTTTTATTTCTGTTAGTATAATTTAAGCTTGCCCTAAAATTTGTATTTATTTAATAGACAGTGCTTTGAAATAAAAAGAACCTCCTGCAAATAATAACAGCAAATATAAAATTTCCCAAAGGATGACAAAAGCAGATGCAAGTTTCCAGATTCCCACATCCTAAAAAGCACTAAGCTTTTAGTGTCCTAAAAGTACTGTCCTATCTGTCTCCCTGCATTACTTAGAGCATTAGGGCATGGAGGGAAGTTTATCATCAGGTATGTTAGGACAATCTTTCACAAGAACCTGCCATAATGTTTGGTCAAATGACAAGCCAGAGCAGCCACCTGCTTTTAACTCCAGCATGTGTGTGTATGTGTGTGGAGTCAGAGTTCTCTTCATTTAGTGAGAGAATTAGTTCTCCAAAGATTCCTATGAACTAGATAATGGAAGTGGTAAGCGGTCCTTTCAGTGGAGGCAATGAGTTTACCACTGCATTTTAGGAGGTCAAGAAGGACTATTGTACTTATAAAGTCATTTGTAAAGTATTGTCTATAGAAGCTGATCCAGTAACTCCTCAGCAGGCCCTATCTCATGTACAGAATACATCTCATCCATTGGTGAGTGACAGGTAGTATAAACATGCTTGAAGCGATCTCAATCATCTTGTCCATCTTTTCTCCTAGAGGTTTTCCATCAGGAAAAGAAACGGTATTTCTGACTATTTGAAGACACACTATTCACTTTCTTAAAGGAAAAAACAAAAAAAAGAAGAGAACACAGTATTATGTTTTGTCCTCATCCCTTTGTTGCATTGGTCACTGCTTCTTAGCAGTTTAGCCATGGGTGTAAAGGAAATCTCAATGGAAAATCAAATTGAGATACTTCACTTGCTTTATATAGAAATGCCACATCTGACTTAATTGCTGCTGGTAGCACCCAGGAGAGGCTGCAGCAGTAGTGGGCTTGAAATGAAGTAAGTGAAATGAAGCAGTAAGTGGCTTGGCTGGTTGTCCAGCCATATTCCTTCCTCCCCTGTATACATTATGATGGAAGCAGCAAAGGATTTTGTGCCGTTCTTCATGATTTGATCGGAACAGGCTAGTGAACCTATCACATTTCACCTGCACTCCTCCTCTTCTACCATGTTGCTACCTTTCCATTAGTTCATGAGGAAATTAAAGCAATAAAAATTTGTTGCAGGATGGCTTTTTGCCTTCTCTTAAGGCATCACCTGTGTTCACACTAAGAATGTGGGCCCATGCACTTGAAAAGGAGATCTTTAGGTCAGACACATGGGGCATATCTACAGCTAAAAAAGGCTGTGTCAGATAATCCTTGAGGTCCCTTCCAACCTGGTATTTGGTGATTCTAGGAATTATGTCCTGCCTCCTGCGTGCATCATGCAAAGGATACAAAAGTGCAAGCAGCTCACCTTTGCTTTCTTTTCCCAACTTATCTTATGCACAGCAGTCTAGTCTTTCCCTGGATCTCTTTTGTGAAAAGAAGCAAAGGAAAAATAGCATTCATTTTGACCTTGATTTTCTCTTTTATCCTTCATGTCTTTTCTCCATCATAAGCTTCTCTCTGGTCAACTGAGTTTCAAACTATGCTCTTCTCAAGGGAGACATTCCTTTATCTGTGCCACAGGACATGTCTTTGTTGTCTGGGGGAGAAACATCTCCTAAGAAATGTACAATCTGCTGACTGATGCCCCAAACCCAACCACAGAGGCAGGAAATGGTAGGGTAGTCTGTCAGGCAGATTAATCCTCTCAACATTGCAGTTGTGAAGTTTCAGGCATTCTTTTTTTTTTAACTCACTCAGATTATTTTCCCCAGAAGAACTGTGTTTCGTGAATCAGGCATTATGGTGATTAACCTCTCCTTCAGCATTCAATGGAAAGTGATTTGTTCATTGCTATCCACCACTTACCTACCTCTTTTGCCTCCTGCTACATTGGGTGGGAGAGCTCTGTGGCTTGTCCTGCCTCAAGTCAAAGAAGCACACACCAGAGCATACACACATTTCACCTCCTCCACAGGTATTTGTCAAAGGCTGGTCAGCCAAAATGAGTGGTCTCCTTTACAGTTCCTTATCTCCATACTGTTGGCCTACGTGCGTCAAATGTGTCCTGTGTGATTTTACAGTTATTCATAAGGACTGCTTTCTGTTGAGCCTTCATAGGCATTTGTAAATGGATGCCCTACAGGTGGGTACAGTGCCCTGCCTGGCTTTCAGCACTTATGCTGCCTTGCTTATGGACTGAGCTAAACAGGAAATCCCTGCTTCTGGTGGGATTTCTGCTGTGAGGTTGGGCTCAAGCTCCTCAGTTCTCCATTGCGACCTAGAACTTGTTATTTCTGAGTCACTTGTAAAGTTATTTATAACAACTGCACTAGAGAGAACGTGATGTATTATAAAGGAGCAAGAGATGAATTGTGATAAAGTATTTTCATACTGAAGATCAATGAGTCTGTTTATCTCCCTTCTGGAGGGCACCTGACAGGCCCTGGCACAGAAAATGGAGACCACCAACATCAATCAGACATAAGCTACTGGAGCATAAGCTCCCTGTATCATCTTTGGAGCTGCCATTTAGAGTCACATATTTGCAGATAACATGTTGCTATTGAGGTACTTGGCAGGCATGAGCAGAGCAAGCCTAACCATTTCACTTGATTTCAGGGCTCCTCCTTCAGGCAAAGGCATTGTTTAGAGACATTCACAGCCCTACAGTCAGTTAAAGCTGT